TTTTTGTATTCGGCAACAATAATATCTAGAATTAAATTAGGTTTTTTTCAACATTAATCTCAGATACATTTTTACAATTGGCATAAATAGTATCTGTTATATTCGGATATATATATACACATATATACATTTCTATATAATAGTAATTTACCCTACAAATAATTACCTACATTATTTAAACTACAAATAATATAGTGTACGTACCTTTTTTCCGAATCGCACAAAATCTTTGAACACGTATTCGTGTTAATTTTCTAATTTTTTCCGCACGATTCATTATTTTTTATTTCACTTCACACAACAGTATGAAAATTGCAATTTCACAATGAAGTTTTCTAACTCTCGATGATTCTTATTTCAATAGAATATGCACATGCGCACATTCAATAGAGAATTTTAGAAAAAACCCAATCAGAACCGCATAAGGATTTCCTCAATGAAGCGTTAATAGAGCAGCCCTCATTGCGGCGCTGACAGAAGGGCCACACGTATCAAATAATACGGTTACCCTGATGTAGACACTCTCAGCACCGGATCAGGTTTTCCAAAATAAGGCAAGCCATGACATTACCTGATTGCGCCCGGAGCAAAATGCAGGCAAACCTTAATCATTTTCTACTCGGGATGACGTAAAAATTGTGAGTATACAAATACTATTGCACCAAATAATATTTTGATTTCAATTCCTGGTATTACTTTAGAAAAAAAAAGTTATGATCTAAACGATTTATTAAATCTTACTTTTCTTCATTAGTGTGAATTATATAACACTTTATGTTAAACTTGTAAAGGGAATGGAATAAGATATTTAAAAGAGAACAAAAGAACATTAGGGGAGACCGGGGCTAGTTGTGACACGGGGTTAGTTGTCAAACTGGTATTATCTTACTTATTAAATCTTGGAAAATATTCTTCTTTATATTGTAAGTTGCTTCTATTGTGTTAGTAACGTGTACGAAATAGCTTTTCTTAAAAACATGATATATGATATTTACGAGCAGTTTAGTAAAACTGGACATGGCAAATAGATTTTTCTGATCTCGATTATTTAGTAATTTCATTGATTTTAAAATTTCTAATTGCAATTTTATCTTAAGTATAGGAAATATGGTAGTTTTAAATAATTTTTCCTATATTTATTTAATCATCATCGCGTCGCAGTTTATAAATATAATATCTTTTATTTAAAATGAACGGTTGAGGTAAGTTGACTCAAATGAGACGGGATAAGTTGTCACACGGTGAGCATGCGCAAAGAAGTAATCGCCGTTCGCAGTGATCGTCATGCGTCGTTATAACTTGTTCAATACTTCTTCGGTCATTGTGTTTTTATTTAAGGTTAGGTTACTAATTATGTTTTAGTTTACTGTTTTATAGTTTTTAACTTTATTATTATGAAAAAGACGCTAATGATGGTTCGAAATCGTCGAAGAACAACAGATAGAGGTACAANTCTACCCAGTACAATAATAGCAGCTTTGAAGGCAGTGAAAATAGAACANTTGTCAGTGAGACAAGCTGCTTTATTATTTCAAATTAACTATCGCACNTTAACTCGATATTGTAAGAAATTTTTAGAAACGGATTTGTGTGAAAATACGATTTCTACAAATATAGGTTATGNTAAACCAAAAAAGATATTTAGTGATTCACAAGAAGAAGAACTAGTTACGTATATCTTACGTGCTTCAGATATTTACTTTGGTCTTACACCAAAGGAAATCAGAATATTAGCTTATAAGTTAGCTTGTCATAATTCAATACAGATGCCNCAATCATGGAAAAAAAATGAAATGGCAGGAGAAGATTGGTTCAGCGGACTATTAAAACGTCATAATAATCTTTCGATACGGAAACCAGAAGCTACAAGTAAAGCAAGAGCAACAAGTTTTAACAAAACTAATGTTGAAATATTTTTCAACAATTTGACAAAAGTAATGTCTTGTTATCATTTTCAACCTCAAGATATTTGGACTATGGATGAAACCGGAATAACAACTGTTCAAGTGCCAGATAGAGTAGTTGCTCGAAAAGGTTATAAACAAATTGAAAGTATCGTTTCGGCTGAACGTGGAACTTTAGTCACTATGGCTTCTGCAATATCTGCAATAGGAAATCATATACCACCTTTTTTTGTGTTTCCTCGTGTGCATTTTAAAGATTATTTTCTTATGTCTGCTCTACCTGGATCAAATGGCACTGCAAACAAATCAGGTTGGATGCAAGAAAACGATTTTCTACAATTTTTGAAACATTTTAATGTTTATGCAAAATGTTCAATTGAAAAACCAGTTTTATTGCTGTTAGACAACCATAATTCTCATCTTAGCATCGAAGGTTTAAATTATGCAAAAGACAATGGAATTATAATGTTGTCTTTTCCACCGCATTGTTCACATAAATTACAACCTTTAGATAGAACAGTATTCGGACCTTTTAAAAAATATATTAATTCTGCTTCTGATGCTTGGATATTAAATCATCCGAATAATACTATGAATATCTACAATATTCCCGAAATTGTTGCTGTTGCCTATCCTCTTGCAATGACACCAAACAACATTCAAGCAGGCTTTAGAT